ACACTGGGCTCTTACCATTACCCTCTACAAAAACTGTTCGAGGAAGAGGATAGAGGTGAAGGTCCTCATCTGGAGCGAACTCCCAGTTTCCCGAGATAATGAAGTAATCATAGGTAAACCATCGGTTTGTATAACCGAGGTATATCACCCCGAGGAAATTACACAGATAAGGTGTATGCTCGAAAGCACGCAAAATTATTCTGAGTACAGAATCATACAAGAGTCATACAAAGGAACTTGTACTTACATTCAAAAGAATCAGTTCAAAAAGAAGAGAGCACTTCGGCCTACCAAAAGAGTAGTTGTTCAGAAATTACAAAAATGGCACTTCGGCCAGATCCAAGCTTACATTGATTCAAAAAGTAAGACAAAGTACTAAGTACAAAGCACAAAACTAAGACTCTTTGGCGTCTATGGCTGGTTGGGGTTGGAGTTCAGAAGACAGCTGAGAAGACATCTCGGCGGCCCTCTCAGCCGCGAGCTCGGCATCAATTTCTTGAAGAGTTTGGTCGAGGCTCTTGTCGGCAATAAGCGGGTCCGATATTGCCTTCTCAGGAGGAGCGTCTTTGGAGACGTCACCTTCCTCATCCCCAGTCAAGTCTAGGACTTGCTTATTTAGAGTAGGGGACTTGGCCCCACCAGCATCTTTTGATTTCCTCACCAAAGCTTCCTCCTCAAACTGAGAATCGTCTTCAGATTGGCTTGGAGTAGGGGGGAATGACAGGGGGAGGACGTCGGCATTCTTGAGGGGGGAGTCCTCAGGGACGTCAAGCTTTTTTAGAGCAGCCATTCAACCAAGGGTGAAACCCTTGTTGCATGCCTGCTTCACTTGTTTTTTGTAGTCCTCCTTGACGTCGGCCACCCCCTCTGCGTATGCCCTCTCATCGGCTGCCTTGATCTCGGCCTCCTTTGTGGCTAAGGCATCTTGGAGTTCTTTTTGGGCCTCGACCGTCTTTTCTTCGGCCTCTTTCTTTTCGGCCTCAAAAACCTTCTTAATGGCCTCTGCAGCATCTGCTTTTTCCTCGACCACGTCTTTGGCTTTAATAACTGCCGGAGCCTGATCTGACAAAGTCTTCATTTTTGCCTCGGCCCTTTTGATGGCCTTTTGTAAACCACCAACCTCTCTGATCTTATCGGCCAACTCCTTTCTCATTTCAAAAGATTGCATTGAGAAGGATTGGGCGTGCTGGATCGCTTGAAAGAAAATAGACAGAACAAAAGTTAGTAGAAGTTCTAAAAGTATGAAAAAATAGAGAAAGAAAAATACCACGGGTAAAAGACTTACTTGAACAGAATGCTGGAGAATTAGAGCAAAGTTTTCATACTCGCTCTTCTCGGCGTTCCGGTTAAGATCGGCGGTATTGGCATTCCAACCTCGATGCTTCCATGCGTTCGAGGAGCCAACCGTTGTAGGGCCGAAATTCGGTGTGGATCCTTTGCCCTGGCATCCTCCTTGCATCGTGCTTTTTCTTCTAGCACGGTTCGTAAGTCGGATGACCTGGGTAGCTCTGTTTGTCTGGATCTGGTTTGGTGTGAATGTGAAGGCCAATACGTGCTTCCTTTAGTGTATGATCTTTCGGATCTCGTCCTCTCAGACCTGGAGTGACGAGTTCTTGAAGATAAGGAGTGAGTGTCGCCTGTCCTGAGGCTTCTGCTCTCTCCTTGGGAGGGCGTAGTATTCCTACTACGATTCTCTGAGTGGCGAGGGGGCGTCTTATGCTTGCGCCCCTCTCCTGTCGCCACATCTTTAATCTTCATCTGGCGTTTTAAAGCCTCAATGTCCGCCGCCATCCTTCGAATTAGTTCATCTTGTTCCTTTACGCGATCTTCCAGGGCTTGAGGATCAATCCTCCTCCTTTGCCTGTCGGGACTTTGAGAGTGACGAGGGCTACCATTCCGCCTTCCCCTACCACTCCTCCTGGAATTGTGTTGTTGGGGCTCCAAGTCCGCCATGGGAGGGACGGCAGGTAATCCTTCACGCCTTGCGCCCCCTTCTGGAGTTAGTCCGTCGACGGCGGACTGCGGCAAGTCTTCAATGTGTGCCATTGAATGAGAAAAGGAGAAGCTTAGTCAAGAGGTTTTTGTTCTTGTCTGTTCTTCCCACATAAAGTCTGTAATATGAAAATACACAATTTATCAACATAATTAAATAACATCATACCCACATGGAAATGCCAGCACAGTATCACAGACATACATACTCATAATAATACATTGATATATTATTATAAGCCACAAAAGGTCAATTTCCACACACAATAAATAAATAAATAATAAAGAAAGAAGAAGAAGAAAAGGAAGAAAGGAAAGGCTTCCAACCCCAATGGTCAGTAGCATTCACAGAGACATAATTCCAACAATGATTCAAAAAAACAATTACTTGGTCAACTAAAATGTTTAACTTCGATCTAGTAAACATTATTCCAACAATGATTCAAATAAGCTGGTCTGTACATGTTACTGATGCATGACTACGATCATTTGACCATTTCTATTTTCCAACAAAAACTTGTATAAATAGAGAACTACAAGAAGAATAAAAACAAAAGAAAAAAGAATGATTGTTCACGAAGCAACCCAGAAGCACAACAACTGCGAAATTACCTAAAGTCCGACACGATTATAAAGTTTATGCCGTTGAACTTTCCCGTAAATGTGCAAGAAGAACAAACCTATAATACATCTACGGTTCCTTCAAATCACAGGTTCATAAATCTGCATCTTTCGGGCCAGCATCGTGCATACCTGTTGGCTGATCAAAGATGTCTCCAATTGCTGACTAGCAAGATCTCCAGCTACAAAATCAGAACCATACGCCTCGTAAAGCATATAACATGAGTTGTGAGATAAAATTGAGCACGCATGGGCTGATCTGTCCAAGAAGCACTCCAATATTTACCAACTCGAATAGTCATCTCAACCTTGACAACCTCTTCCGCTTCCGATTCCTGTTATGCGCAACAGCATTGCTCTTTGCGCTGGATGGCAAGCCAGAGTTGAAGAAGTCTTGCCAATGCCAATAGATGTTCTACCTTTCTTAGCAACCCATTTCAGTGGCAGATTATTCACTACATTTCCAATGTCAATGCACTGTTCAGTTCAACAAGTTTCTGAATTTGGTCGAGCATCTGGTGCGTCCATGCTGTTGACAAATCCAGTCCAACTGAATCATCAATTGGGTTTTTCCACAGATTCATTAAAATTTCCTTAAATGACTGATACGACATGGAAGCTTGATGGCCTTGATGATTTTCGCAGATCATATTAACCTTCATAACATGCTTGCAGAGGTTTCCCTGCATTGACCAAGAACAATCACAAAAAGAAAATTCTGATCCGGGATTCCACACTGGATGTGTCAAGCTGCTGTCATTTTGGCTCACAACCTTGGCAAATAGATGGTCTTTATCATCCAAGATAACAGCAGAATTGGGAATTTGAAGTGCTTGGTGCCATGAGGTGGAAGCAATATATTCCTCCTTGACATTTGGAAAGGAATCACTTTCATCGGCATAACCGTCGAGCCAATAGCTTGAGTGCAACTCAGCTGTCAGCTTGTGCACCAACCAATCTACTCTCTGAAGTGCACCAAGATGTGAATCATCGTAGAGTTTGACTTTCAGCTTCACATGATATGCTTCTATGGCACCCGATGCCTCCTGGCTTGCCAGAGGAAGGGTTCTCATTGTCCTAAGCCACATTTCTGTATTTTAAAAAAAAAAAAAGTGTATAATAACAATGCCAGATTATTAACTTCTAAAAAAACAAATTAAGGGTAGAGACAGATAGAGATCATCTAACCAAACTTGGGCACCCAAGAGGCCTTGAAATATTGCACAAAGGAAGTTTGATCGACAAAATCTTGGGTTAATTCTTCTAACGCAACCGTGGAATCCACTCTGTCCCAAATGCTATATACTATTTTTCCAAGCCGTCTAAAAATCTCTCGTTGAACTTCAATGTTACTACATCTTTTGACAACATTCCACAGCCATGATCCACGAACACGCCACAGGGAAAATAGGATAGGACAGGCAAATGTATCCCTGGAAGAATAGACGCTATGTAAATGAAGTGCATTGGCATTGTAGATAAATTTAAATAGAAAATATTAAGATCACCGTGCCTTATAGGATCAATCTCTGTTGCTGCATCATCAATTAAAAACCCATTGATCTTCCAACCAGGGTCAACAGCATGAACACGATCGAGTAAAGCTTTCATCCATTTTGACACATCAGGCTTAGCAATGCTGCGAGTAATGATCCACGCAACAGGGAGTGCATGTTGTCTTGAATCAAACACAAGAAGAGTGCACAAAGGGTACTGCCATTCAGAGATCATGACATAAGAATCCTATATGGCAATTCTTGTAAAGCTTATATGCATAAGGGTATTATCACTAAATTCATTACCTTAATTCTCTTTATTCCAAAAGTTGAATCAGCTGCCATGAAACTGTGATGACCAAAACGGATCATTTGTTGCAATTGCCATTCAGTTTGAATCCCAAGAACAAAAGGATCTGTTTCTGTAGCGTCCTGATAAAAGAAAATACATTTCTTATTGCGTTTAACCCACATTCGAATGCTAGCTTGGTCATCTAGATCCAATTCATGCGTAGAACGCTTAATAATCATCCCAAGTTTGTGGACATATTGGGAAGCAAGGCTATTTACTTTTGCATTTGAACCACAGTAGCGCTCTATCCCCTCAATGTGCTTCTCCAACACATTTTCCTCAGGAATTCCAAGATAGATCATAGACATAGTTTGCTGTTGAATCTCATTGCATATGTAGGGAATTTTCTTGGCACCAGGGCCAATCGCATCTCTGTCAAGTGGCCCCTGACAGACAAAACCGGACTTGTTTATGTGGCGCCTATCATTATGTATAATTAGCGCAAGTGACGGACGAGCATACAAACGCTTCACTACAAAATGGCATGTACATCCTTTCATGGATTGAGGTCTAGCAGCACGGTTTCGGGTGTTGAGTCGATATCTTCGGCTTGGTAATGTGCCTCCACCTTCCCCATAATTTTCAGGACCAAAAGAACACCAATACCTTCACAAAGAAGAAATGGAAAGAAAATGAATGACGTAAAAATGATTGAAACAGAACTTGCATACATTAAAAGAAATATTTTGTATTCGTTACCTACAGATAAAGACCTCAGTGTCCACCAGGATCTATTTGTCAACTGAACCAGACATTTGCACGGGTAGACCACCTCCAATTGTTTGGTATTAAGTTCTATAATTTGGTTTAGCCACTAATCCCAAATTCGGTAGTATCTTCGGTGAAACCCAGTCTAAAAGTTTTCTGAATTCACGTCATATTACATATGTAAGTGATGTCAAGTTGATATTGGTCACAGGTTTGAAACATTTAAGAATATAATTGAAATGGAAAACATTAATGCTGTGTTTGGTTGGGGTTTTTGGGGTGGGATTTGAAAAAGGAATGAGAAATGTAATCCTATTTATGTTTGGTTATAATAAAAAATATATGAGAAAAGAAAGGGGGTGAGAAATAAATAAAGAAATAGGAGACCTTTTAGGACATCAATTCTATTTTATAACCAACACAACCAAACATAGTTGGGATTTGGAATTCTATTAATTCTTTCTCCTTTTCCTTTCATTTCCATTTCCCTTCCCAAATCCCCCAACCAAACACAGCGTAAGACAACATCAAGTTTTTCCCTATAAATGTCATCACAGTTTCCAACCAAAGATAGAAGGTATCCTTGCCTTGTGATATCAATATTAGTTTTATTATTATTATTTTTTTTAAATGGCAAGGCAACAACAGGACTTGAGCTCATAGTTTCAAGGTTGAGAGACAAAATGGCTACCAATACCACCTTCCTACAAGCCCAGTGGTATCTACCTTGGTGCCTGTCATAAATATATTGTCAATTGTTAATGGCATGGGAATATAACCTTGTCACATTTTAAAAAGGAGCAATATGGATACAAGTTATATGCAAACAAACTGGAGAACTTACATCCTATACTCCAAATATTCATCACTCTTGTACTCATTTAAGCTACCTCTGGATCGTTTTCTTCCCCTCTCAATATGGAACCGTGTCGGGCATTCTACATTAGAGCACTCTCCAATTATGAAGGCATCAACCCTTGCATAAGGAATAACGGCTACATCATCATGACGTTCAGGGGTTCCAATGTTGGACCAATTCAAGGCAGCAGAAGAGAACTCCTCCCCTGGTGGATCTTGCACAGGAATATTGAGGATGGATTCAATTATATCCATATGCTACAATATCACTACCTGTTAACTGGTATAATTGTTAAGCCAGTTTGACATTCATCGCCAGTAACTGCTAAAAATAAGTCACACAACAATTAATGAACAAGAAGCATCCAGAGGGGGCAAAATAATAACATAATAATCATTATCGTGAACTACTAGCTACATAGACAAAGGAGGACACATGACAAAGATAAATACGACACAAAATGCTGACAAGACAACTTTGAAGAAATTAGGACATGGACATGGCAATGTAACCGCAAATATTTTTATATGTAAAAGATATATTATCCTCCTTGGCAAGTATATAATATCATTAGATAATTTTGATAAATTCTTGCATGTCTGAATTAAGAATTGCATCATGTGAAAGATGTAACTAGACAAAATCATATACATAACTACATTTTTTTTTGCATTTCTCTTTCCTTTAGCCTCGCATTCTTTACAACAGTAAAAAGGTTCTGTTCAATGCTAGATCAATCACAGCACATATATATATATATACCACATTGCATTTCTTTCTTCTTCATCTCTCTTAATTTCTAAAAACTAAGAAGTAAAGGTTGGATGCTACAGATGGCCATCTGATTTCTAAGAGTGCCGGACACTGCTACTTCTATGGTCCTTAAAATATATTTCCAAACTATGCACACACCTAGGAAGTTTTGATGTGTCTGTGATTGTCCAAGAAGTGTCAGTTTCCCACATGTGTTTGACATGGACAACGCTCATCCATTTTAAGTGTTTGTCCTACCTAGGTCACAATACTTAGATACATATCACAATCATCAAAGCAAAAAACCATTTATGGAGTGAGGAGCAGAGCATACACCAGTTAAGCAAAGAAGTACAATAATGGGGGGAAAAAGAGCACTGATCAACCTTACTTTTAAGTACATCAAGTACTATAAGATCAATAATTATCTGAATAATACCACCATAGTTTAATCAATCCTTTTTATAAGTCTCTATATATCTTTGGCTATTGATACATAGACATCAGCAGCATGCTTAAAATACCTAAAGGCCTAATCAAGCATGTCCTCACACAAGCTTGAATTATTGAGCAATCAAGTTCAAAAGATGGGATGCTTATCTAGGGAAATGAGCTCACACATAACTAGTTCTATTTGGTATCATTTTCAATTATCGATGTTTTCAGATCAGTTTTTTTTATAAAATTTTTTAAACTAATTTTCATGTCTATTTTTTAGAAGAGAATGCAGTTTTCAGAAAATACACCAAACACACCACCAGTTTCCATTTGGCTTTGCTACCAAGGTTCCTAAATTGTTCATAAATTTTGTGGTTTGTACTAAAGACAAAAAGTTTTCATAAAACTAACTGCTAGGTGCATGAGAGAAAAAAAAAAATATATATATATATATACATCAAGACAAAAGAACTCAACACTTCACAGTGAGTAAATTAAAGCTACAATTTCTGTCTTCTCCATTGTTCCCAAAGCTTTAGATAGCAAGACTGTTATATATTTTAAATTATCTTCACGGCTAATTTATATTCAATCGAATACTTTTCTCAAAACCCTAAAGTAATAATCTCTCAAATTGAATAGAGAGAAATGCAAGGTGGTTGTATGATGGATTGGAGAAAGAAGAAGAAAGAAGGTTAATTTTGTCTTTTGATATTTATGTTAAATTTGATAAATAAAATACAAAATATTTAAGATTAAAAAAGAGATTTCATTGTCTGCCTATAACACCATTTATATTACCATTAATGGAGAGGAGATTGGTATAATTATTTCAAACTTCTTGTGAATATATGGATAAGTGGAGGACCACCATGATCACCATTTTCTCTACCACCACTATGACCACTTGCTGTTCTCTAAAGAATAATGTTTGGGACCACCAAAGTAATAGCTTTAAAGTTGTACTAATGAGGTAGGATTGTGGGTCCTATTTTGATGTAATAGTTTAACTTTTTTTTTTTTTTTTCTTTTCCGGGTGCTATAATAGCCTAGCTCTATGGGGTGTTTGGGAACTTAATTTTTGGGCTTTTTTGTTTTTTATTTTTTTTCACTACAAGATAAATGTTTTACCAAATAAAAAAAAAAAAAATTCAAACAAAATATCACATCAAATTTCATAATTATTTTATTTTTCCCCCATAAATATCACATCTAACAACAAAAAAACTCAACTATCTTTCTAAACACAAAAAAAATTTTCTCCAATAATATTTTATAATTAAAAAAACTTACAAAAAAATTTACTTTCCAAACACTCACATAGTGCACTTAATAGGAAAATGTTTGGTAGCTCAAAATTTTGTGGCTCAAATGGCTCAAATCTGTCAAAACGATGTCGTTTTACACTCATTTATACTCAAAACGACGTCGTTTTGAATGATTTGAGCAATTTGAGCCACAAAATTTTGAGCTACCTAGCATTATTGCACTTAATATATCCTATGTACATATATATACCTATTTATCTATCCAAAACAAATCTCTTCAAAAATTGGCAGCGGGCCTGTCTTTCTTGGCCTATGAAGAACATTCTATATGTGTTCTAGGCCTGCGTAAAGAATCCGTAAAATCCGCAATCTGATCTAGTCCAGTTCAATTCGATAGGTTTGGATTTATTTTTTGAATTCGTGGTTTGGTTCCGGATTGAAGAATTAAAAATTCGTAGTCCACGGGTTGATTCCGAATTGAACCTCATGGTTCTGAATTGGAACCGATCCGGACCGTGTATAAATAGTCTATATTTTTATTATACATCTTCCCCCATATTATATTCTCTTATTCCATATGAAACCTAAATTCAAACCTCAACCCGCATAATATCTTCTTTTATTACTTTTGTTTGTTAGTTTTAGTTTTAATTTGTAATGGTCTAAATAATTATGGTGAAACTAACTTTCTTATGGTTGTTTAAATTCTAGAACAGTATGTCGCTATTATAGAAAGACATGTTGCTATTGTGGAACTAATATAGCGTTATGTTTATGTTTTTATTAAATTAAAGTGTCATATATATATATATATATATATATTTGTTATTTAATTATGTGAATTCGTGGTCTTAAACTGATCTAATCCGTGTTTAAATGGATTGGTTCAAATTGGTTCCATAATTTAAACGGATTAGATTGGTTCTAATTTTTCAAGAATCATAAATAACGGATTAATTTTGATTTTATCCCAATTCGATCCAATTCGGACCATGCTCACCCACTGGCTATGTTCTTTTTTCTAAAATTCTAAAAGATGGTCACCAATTATGCTTTTTAATTTATGAGTTCTTAAGGTAGAAATATGGTTAACATTTGCAAAGCAAGCCTTGCATTTCCATATTTCTTGATTTAATGTTTTATAATTTTACAATCCAAACAAAAGGTTCATTTGTTTGTTAATCTAGTAAAATTTAAATATAACTATGTAATTGAGAGAGAGAGACAGAGAGAGATAAACCCGGTGGCAACCATGGGATAGTGACGAAGGAGGCCAGACGCCGGCGGCGACTAGCAACCAGCGATTGATGGTCTGTGTCTGTGTCGATACATCAGCGGTATTTCCGGTGAGTTCTCCTTTCGTTGGTTCAGAGAGAGAGAGAGAGAGAGAAACCCAAGATTGAGAGCTAGGGTTTTGGAGCACGAAGATGCAGCCGCAGAAGCCAGTGCATGTTACAGGTTTCAAATCTTTCTATTGTTGTTGATTTATCCTTGATAGCTATTGGGTTGTGATTCCTTCCCATTTTCCCCAATCTGTTTGCTGAAAATGGGTAAGAAATTAAGAAGCAAGAGGGGTAGCTCATCCAAAATCCCTCTTAAAGAATTCCATTCTAGCTTAGTGAAAAAGAAATTGGGCCCTAATAGTTCAAATCTAGCCAATGATAAAAACCAGAGTAATATAGACTATATGCAAAGGCAGTTAGAACTTGAGTTTGAACATGATGATTTTGACATTGAAGAGACCTACTGTGATGCCCCTGAAGCTTACAATGCCATGGTGGGTTCTAGTGTTTGCCAGGGCTCTTCTTCAGAACAAGGCCTGGGCAAAACAACTGTCCCAAAACCAATGGGGGATATTGAGACAGCAACAAAGGGAAGTGCCCCAACCACAAATGTGCAGGACTACAATGAGGCAAAAGGGCATGCTCAGGTCCGAATGTCATGTGTAGAGGGTTTGGTGGATGTGGCTTCTATGGACTCTCAGACTGAAGCAGAAATGGTCCAAAGCCATAGTTCCAATGGATTGGGTAAGTTTTCTTCCCGTAATGTTATCTCTACACCCTGTAGTGGTTTATTTAAATCTAAGATTGCCAAGAAGAAAGTAGTTAAAAGTCTCAAGAGATACTCGGTGGGTTATGAGAACAATCAACTTCAAATCCCATTGGAAATCTTTAAAATTGGGTTTAAGTAATGGGAACATGCTCTCGTGGGTTATTTTATTGATAGAAAATTGTCTTTCTTCCAAGTGAAGACTTGGGCCTACAAGTTGTGGAAGGAAAATCTTGAAAATCTTGAAAAGATTGTAACCTTAGATAATGGCTACTTTGTATTCAAGATTAAAAATGAAGAACTTTAAAGTCCATTCTTGATGAGAGGCCTCATCATATTGGGAGCAAATTGATTGTTATAAAAAAATGGCACCCTGGTATGACCCTTACTAAAAATGTCTTCTCAAGTGTGTCGATATGGGTAAAATTTTTCAATGTGCCCCTTGAACTTTGGACTGAGGAGGGATTGAGTTACATAGCAAGTTTTATCAGTAATCCGTTGTATCTTGATGAATTTACTCAAAACCATATATGGTTAACATTTGCTAGAATTTGTATTGAGATAGAAGCTACTAAGGAGATTTCACCCTCTTTTGTTATAAACTTAGGATATGAAGAACTGTTCGAAATCAAAGTGGAAGTTCCTTGGAAACCCCAAGTGTGTGGAGAATGCAAAATATTTGGTCATGCTACAAGTTTGTATCCAAGTAAATCGAAAACTCAAGCTCCTAGTAAACTCAAACAAGGGTGGAAGGCCAAAGAAGTAGCCGAGATGAAGGAGGGAGGCAAGCCAAATGAATGGGTTGAAGTGAAAAAGAAAAAAGGCAAGGACGTTGTTGATGCTCCTATGGTTAACTTTGTTCCTACACCTCCTCCATCTTCATCGAATGCATTTGATATTCTCAATACTTGTGTAGCCAATGAGGAGGTTTCTTTTTTTGTGGATCTTAAGAGTGTGCTTTAATGCGAATGAAGATATTCCGATGTAAAGGCTTCAAAGGAAGAGAAAGAAATTGTCGAAGACGTGGGTAATATAAATGGGTTAGCCCCTAGATGATCTTCATGTCCCAAAGGAGCTCCTCAATCCCTTTCAGATGGAACATTCATTGTTTCATGGCCAAACCCATCTTCAAAAGTGGAAAACAAGAAAAAACTTCTTGAGAGAATTACCAATCTTAAACTTGCTGAAAAGGTTAGCCTCTCTGTCAAGTCTAAGAAATCAAGTTGTAAGACTCCTATGAAATCGTAGGTGTGCCCGTTGATTATTGCTTGGCCTTGTTTTGGTTTCTCCTTGTATGTTAATCTACTTGTTAGATTTTGTGTAGAAGCTAGGCTTGTTTTTTTTTCTCTCCTAACGTTGTGTTTGGTTGGGGGATTTGTGAAGGGATTTGGAAACGGAAAAGAAAAGGTAAATGAAATGTGAATAAAATATCTCTATTTCACCTAATTTCACACATATTTTCCCTTTCCAAATTCCTTTTCAAATCCCCAACCAAACACAGCGTAAAGGAGTTTAATTTAAATGTTCAGGAAGTCACAAACATAATAGAGAGAGAAATGAAAAGGAAGGAGGTATGTCTCCTGAAAATCAAACAGTTTTTTCCATGAATTTGAAAAGGAGTGATAAGAGGAAACAAGATAGATAATTAAAAGTAATATATGTCCAAACACACACACACACACACACACACACAGAGCCTATGTGCTCTGTAGGAGACACCCAAATCACTATAAATCCAATACCGACAAATTAAGAAACAACCACCAAATCAACAGAGGAGAGGTTGTGCATGAAAAAATTAAAGGCGAAAAAATGAAGCAAGACTCGGATAATTTACCAGAGATAGTGTAGGCGACGCGGCGCACTTCCAATCCAATCCAATCCAATACAAGGAAAATGAGGAGAAGAGGGAGGGGGATAGATAGTATTAGGGGTGTTTGCGGTGCGGGTCAGTGCGGTTTAGGAGAAAAATAGAAACCGTAAGGCAGGTGGTGGATTGATAAAAGTGTCATTAGAAATTGCCAGTTTTTTTACAAAAAACCGGTAGTTCGGTTTGCAAATAATGGCGAATTTTCTTTGGTGGTTCAGGCGGATTGACGGTTTATAAAAAATATAATTTAAATTACAGAATTTGAATCAAAGAGTAAAAAAATCTAATTTATAAATTAACTAAAATAGTCAAAATTAAAATATTCATCTAATATAACATTAAATATTAACAAATTAGCAAACTAAAAATCCAACAATCCAAACAAATTATACAATAACAATTTAACAAGGCAATAAATACTAAAAAAAAATAATATCATCCAACATCTAACATAATTCTAGAGCTAATCCACAGAAATGCCAACATTACTCCATTTATTGAATGTATGGGAAATTTATTAGAATGTTATTAGAAGAGTTGTGAATCCAAAACAAATAAAAATTATTAATATGGGTTTTAAATAAAAAAAAAATTTAAAAAAAACAAAGAAAGAGGAACAACATTAGTGATCCTAGACTGTGAGTAGTTATATTATATATATATATATATATCTAGAGAGAGAGAGAGAGAGAGAGAGATGCACCGATGACGATGAGCGGAGAGTAGCGGTGGTGAGCAGGAAGAAGAGGCAGTGAGCAGAGAGTAGGGTAGGAAAGGCCAACGCCGATCGGAAGGTAAGGAAGAAGAGGAACAAGAATGGAGAAGAGTGAGGATTTGTCCAGTTGGGGGTATGTAGTACTAGTATGTGATAATATAATAGTGAATAGAGTGAGGATCCTCTACAATGATTAGTGTGGAGTGATTGTGGAGTTGAGTGAGAAGGAAGTGCCGCCTGTCCCACTTTCGGCGTGGATGGCTGAGATTTGACTATTTGATTTCACCAAAACCACGTCGTTTTAATGAAGGAATTTTTTTTCTTCTTTTTTTCTCCTTTCAGAAGCTTCAGAGAGAGAGAGAGAACCAAAAGCTTTTCTTGGGTTGGGTTCAAGATCCCTAGGAGTAGTACAGTGTGGTGGAGTTGGTCTCAAACTTAACCGCCATTGGCATCATCTTCAAGCTTCTGCAACTCATTCAGGTATCTCTCTCTCTCTCTCTTACCCAAACCCTCTCTACATCGACTCTCCCCCAAAACCCCTCTCTTCCCTTGTTCAAAATTCAGCCACCCATGATTCATAATTAGGTATTTAAGCCACCCATGAATCCTTTGATTAAATCTCATTGTGTTTAATAAGTAGGTGATTTCGCTATTAGGGTTTCAGAAAAGAACCTTGTTGTCTAGGTATCAACCATTGTTTCTATTAATAATGTTTTTTCCCTTAATTTTTCTCTCTTTTTTTATTTAATGATTTCTCACTCCCTTTTTGCTTTTTCTATTTGATCATGATATTTTTGTGTATGGAAGATTTGGGTTGGCCTTGTGTTTCTTATACAAACTGTTAATTTGTTGATGCTTCATATCAAAGACCATTTAAGTTCAGTCCTTGATAAATTAAATTATGGGTTTTTTTGTTTTTTTTTCCTGATGCTTGTATGATGCTTAGTATTACTCTTCAATAGTTGTAAGAGGAATGGGTGAAACTATTAATCCAGTGATGCATGTCATGACTCGTGGATGGAGACTTCATGGGTTGCAATGGGTGAAACTGTTATTATAAACGTTATTGCTTAGAATGCAAATTCGTGATTACAATGATGATCATTGAAGTTCTCGTGTGAAAGATAAAAACAGTTTTACTGCCATGTCCACATCTATGGTTGTCATGCCATGCAAAATTTAGCCCTTTTTTTAAATTTTATTTTATGTATATAGCATTCTTCTTTTGAAAATTGGTTAAATTAGTTTGAATGGCTAGCCAAAGTGAAGAATCTTGTTTGAGTACACACTATATGCAAAATAGAGTGTTTTTACTTTTACTTTTGCTTGGCAAAATGGCTACCTATTAGTGTTGGAGATGCTGGTATAGTCGAGATCTGCACTCCACCTCCTTCTTCTCCTCCTCCTAGGGTCTCTCTCTCTCTCTGCCCTTATCTTGGTATTTCTTTTATTTTGTAATGATTGTTTAAACTTACTATTCACAACAATAAATGTACTAAATTTTTTTTGATTAATTTCTAGTCAATGTGTGATTTTGTTTGATAGTAGTGGACCTCTTAGTTTTAGGGTTTATTAATTTTTCCAATTAATCTGGGCATTTTGGGTTTGATGTTGTTGAGGTTGTATTTTTGGACCATTATGTGCCTAAACTGTGGAATATTTAGACTAATGCTTTCTATGTTTTTAGATATAGAGATATACATGCTCACTCATTTATGTATCTACAAGTGTTATGGATATGAATATTCTCACTTAAAATTGCTGAGTTTGTGATTGTATTAAATTAGTACTTGTATAATTCACGAGGACTGGTGTTTTGGTTAATCCTTCTATATGGAGATTTTAAATTTAAAGAACTACAGTGATGGAGAAGCATATATTGATTTTTTAAAATAGACTCTTGTATTATTAGACTTGAGTTTTGCTCAATATTTTTTATGGTATCTGGTATGGGTTTGATTTCTGGTGATGCTCTGTTGTTTGAAAAAGTAAATTTTGAAACAGTTATTGGAAATATATACTTGTTGCATGCTTAAATAAAAAGCTTATGCACTTGTCAATGATGCTAAAGAATGGCAGAACGTGGATCCTTTTCAATTTGTGCTTATTTCATTTATTGAAAAAAAACCACCCAAGAGTTGAGTTTTAGTCGGTAAGAGTGTGGCTTTTTTAGATTGTAAGCTTGTTGTGCAAATACATAAACTAAATGCTATCATGTGCTACTTGAAGCTAAGCAAGGTTTGTGTCCACCATACTTGTTGGACACAAACACAACTGCTGCACTTTGACGTTGTGACATTGCTTTCATTTAGTAGAAAGAAAAGTACCTAGTATAGAAACATTGAAAGAGGGTTTCCGTAAAAAAATGTAAAAAAGTTGGATATAATATATATTTAAAATTAATTCCCATGACACAATGCAGGTTTTGTTCAAAGAAGTGGGGTTGTGAATTAGGGAGAAGTGATAATGATTACTCCCTATGAAGCACGGACACGTCCTTGAGGCTTGCGTATTAGTGTCGGACACGTGTCGGACACGGACACGCGTACGACGCGCTGTTGACACGTGTCCGACACTCTCCCCTGCGTGTCCCCCTTTTTTCTTCTTTGATACTTTATTTAACTTCCCCACTTATTTTAGGGAGGTGATATTTGCACTCTCCCTTTTTTATAAATAAATGCAAAAAAAATGTAAAAAAGTTGGATATAATATATATTTAAAATTAATTCCCATGACACAATGCAGGTTTTGTTCAAAGAAGTGGGGTTGTGAATTAGGGAGAAGTGATAATGATTACTCCCTATTGAGTATATAGCCCTATACATATTCTTGCATACAAAACATATGCTGTTTCATTGATCTGTGTTTTGCAAATGCATTATTTCAAACTTGTGGTTTCTTGCCCGGTGTTGTCTATGCAACATAGCTCCAGCTTGTTAACTTGGAATCTGGTGTCCCATGTAATAACTTAGGCATGCAACATTGTTTTGAAGAACTGTGGTATTGTTATTGACACAGACCTGAAATAGTGTAATGTTTGAAAAAGTTACCTGGTGTTGTCTAAGTAATTTTAAACTAATAGTATTACAAAATTCTAGAGGACTTTTAGAGTGACAATTCCCCTGAACTAGGCTGCATGTCCTTATTTGTTGCTAAGGTTTGCTAAGTTTTTAGGGACATAATCTAAAATATTTCGCTCTCAATGATAAGTAGTCCCATTTAACTGCATGATGCACTTCTTTGCTGATGTTGTTTTCGTTGATCAATAGAAACTTAGACTAGAGGGTGGATTTACGTTGGGGCAAGTCAGGGCAATTGCTCCCATTGAGTTTGGAAAACTTCACTTTTATTCACAGTTTTAGAATTTATTTCTAAAATTGCCCCAATGATATTTTAAAATTGCTCGCACTGAATTTTAAGAACTTTTTTCACCCATGGTTTTAGGATTTGTTTATTGATTTTTCATTAAATTTTAAAATTATTTTTTTTACCTTTGATTTTAATTATTTTTTCAATTTTCTTCTTTGATACTTTATTTAACCTCCCCACTTATTTTAGGGAGGTGATATTTGCACTCTCCCTTTTTTATAAATAAATGCACTTCATATTTGTCTATAGTATAAAAAATTATACATAATACAATTTTCAATGTATGCACATGACAAAATTTGGACTGCAATTACGAAAAAAAAAAGGAACGCCGAATTTATTTGTCTTATTTTCTTTTTCTTTTGATTTCCATCTATCTCTTTTGTTGTGTATGTCATTGATCTGCTTTGATTGATTTGGTAGAATTTTGGAGTGTAATATCAAATAAGGAAAATTTTGTTTTATGTAAGGTTTTGCTCCTGCTGACAAAAATCCTAACTCCGCCCCTGCTTAGATTGTGTTGTACAGCATTTGAAACTTTTTGTGTTAGAAATAGTGTGGTTTTGTATTTTTCTTTTCTTTTTCCCCTTGTAGGAGACATGTCTTGCCACTTCTTGGCTTTGTAACGTGTATTTGTGCTGAATGAAAATGCTTAATTTCATGTAGTAAGTTCTGTAAACCATAGCAGGTAAACAAATAAGTTTATGTATTAATTTATTATTATTATTTATTTATTTTTCCATTCTAGAGTGCAGAAGTATTCTTCCAGTGATTGTTGCAGGGCAAGCTTTTAGAATTAAGAGAAGGCATAGTGAGGAGCGGAGAATAAAGGGTGCTCGTGCAAGAAAGAAGACTTGTGTTACTGTTTGTGGTGTGTCTGAGCTCGATGCCTGCTCTGATGCCTGTGCCCGCACTGTCTATGTCAACCAACATCAAGTGCCCAATTGGAATGACATCTGTCTTCGGAGATGCCAGAGCGAATGCCTTAAACTCTGCCTCTTGTGCTTCTTAGTGAGTTTTTTTTTTTTTGTTTTTTTGGCCGACTTGAATTGTTGTTTTTGTGCAACATGCTGTTAAAAGTATGGTCTTTATCCCGTTTTCAAAACCAGACATGGATTGTTGTGTTCTTTTGCATGCTAGCGTTGAGCTACATATTAATTTCATGATTCTCGCGACAGATTGCTTCACTCTGGGCCAACTTGTCGTGTTTCTGTTTCTGTAATCTTGATTTGTGCTATTCTCTTTACTGTTTGGCATGTGCTAAGGGTATTCCATGCATCAATTTTTTGGTCTTTCACTGCTATTTAATTATTTCAACTTGCATCAGAGTATCTGTATGCTTGATTCTTCCTTGTGTGCATATTTGAGGTGCCTTAATACTGTGTTTGGTTGGGGGATTTGGGGAGGGATTTGGAAAGGGAAAAGGAAAATGTGTGTGAAACTAGATAAAATATAGACATGTTTTATTCACATTTCACCTACCTTTTCCATTTCCCTTTTCAAATTCCTTCCCAAATCTCTCAACCAAACACAGCATAAGAGTATCTCTCTGGTTTGCCTTAATGTCCCAGTAGATGATGATGTTGATCTCAGTACTGAATTTCAATACTAGACCTAAGCATTCTCAATTATTGACCATTTTAGCTCTCTCTCTCTCTCTCTCTCTCAAAGCATTTTAAAACTAACAGTTCATGGAGAGATTACGGTTATATTTGGATCATGGATTTGGATAATGATTTGAAAAGGAAAAAGAAAGGCAAGAGAAATGGGGAAAATATTTAAATTATATTTCATTCATATTTCTCTCTCTTTTTTTCTTTTTCTTTTCAAATTTCAATGCAAAACTATGATCCAAACACAGACATTGAATGAAGCCGAGCCTGCCAAAACCATATTAGATCAGTCTAATTGTAGCAGATTCTTGTGTTTTTGGGTAAAATTTTGATCCTAACAATAGTTTATTGTACAATTTCGTGAAGCTTCATTGAAATGTTGTGACTAGAAATTGTTACAGATGTTACAAGCCAGAACTGCCTGAAACCAAACAGCATATCCCTCATACTGTTGGTTTTTTTGTTTTTATTTTATTTTTTTTTATCAAAGCTCTGCTTCGAATTATATTTTATCAGAATATGCATCTCTTGTGATCTTCAACCATCATTTTGCAATTATTTGTTGAACTTTTATTTTATTTTTATTTTTATTTTTTGCAATTTCCCCTAATAAATACTAGCAAAAAACTCATGTTATACACCTTTAAATTTGTGTGGATGCAGTTGATTACTGATATAATATATAATATTTTATTGATATCGTATCGTAATAAGCAATTATAATTAAAATAAATGAATTGACACAATGTAACATAATCTACGATCAGGTGGATTCCATTATCTTAATGTAGTTGGTAAGTTTAAAAATCTACTACTATTATAAAAATGTAATGAGCCTATTATGTTTTTTTATTTTTATTTTTTAAATTTCAATTTTATCCTCTCAAATTTATTATATTTTTTAAAAATCATTAAGAGTCTTATATAAACTAATTATATTTTTATTTTTGACGTTGACTATTCAAAAACGATATATTTATTTATAAAAATTCTATATAAATATAAACAAACCGTCTTCCTTCTTATAAAAAATATACAATAAATAGTGTACTTTTGTAATAGGCAAAATGCCCTAAGGCGATTTTTTTTTTTTTTTTATTAGATAAAATAAAGAGTGTACTTTTGTAATAGGCAAAATGCCGTACGGTTTTTTTTTTTAATTTTTATTTTAAAGATAACCTTAAAGTAGGGTGATTAAAAATATGATTCAAGCTGTTGAATGGATTCATGGATTGACTGGGGCAATCTTAAAATAGCAGGAATACAAAATGCTTCACCAAATGGTTCATAGAAAATATAATAATATTTTATCCTCTAATTTATTATTCTTAAATGACCCTTAATAATGTGACATTAAGGTTAGATCTCAATGTTTGACAAATTAAAATTTGACATTTGTCAAACACATCATTAGGAGTAATTGTTAAGGGTGATAAATTAAGTATTTCAAATATTTTTCTAGAAAATATAATGAAAAAATTGGTATTATATACAGTTATGAAGTGGTTGACGTGAAAAATAAATCTCAACCTACCCTTCCATTACACTTTCTATGACCCATTAGGCATTTTAATTCTAGGATAAACTATCAATATGTTCTAATAGTTGGACATAATTCTTATTAATTCTTATTGAAAATAAGTTCTAGTAAAATCGTTGCTAAAAATAATTCTTTATAACTATTTTTTGTATATCGCTAAAAATTAACAAGGGTGAATTACACTAAGAGTTAGGGGTGGGCAACGGTTTATCCGAACCGCTTAAACTGCCCAACCAGCATATAAATGGGCGGTTTCGCAAACATAATTCGGGCGGATGCGATTTGAAATATGATAAATTTGCGAGTTGCAGACGGATCCCAGGTTAAACCCGCAACCCGCAAAATTGCCCGCACTTTAATTATTATTTTTTTATATACCAATTTTGTAACTTTAACAGGAGTACCATTTTGTTCTCTATGACATTAGGATCCTTATTTTTAAGTATTTCTTAACTTTCTTAATGTCGTAAAATTGTCAAGTCATAAACTTGGTTTCTTATATGATTTTCAATGATGACTCATCTACTTTTCTCTAATAAAATTTTCCTTCTGGTAGTCGATGAAGCTTCTAGTTTGATTATTGATTACTGAACTGACAATTCTAATTGAGTATAACCTTTAATGCATTGATATACATTTTTTTCATGCAAAAATACTAGTGATATTCAATTTTTATTTGTAAACTTATCAGAAAATTGTTGTCAAATGATCACAAATATATAAAATGAATCTAATGCCTAAACTCGATTGGAAAAAAAAACTTAAAAATTAATTTTTAAAGAAAAAAGTGTAAATTGCAAACCGCCTACACATCTACAAACCCTATCCGCACAAACCGCAAACCGCACTGCGGGCGGTTGCGGGTTGACTTTTCCCAAATCGTATAGATGCGGGCAGGTCAAAACCGAACCGCAAACCGCACAAAACCGATCTGCGAAGACCCCTACTAACAGTCTCTATAGTTTGAGACTCGTGTCACTTTGGTCCCTGACTTTTCAATTGTAACATATTTGATCCTGATTTTAATTGTGTTCCAAATAAGGACAATTGAAGATACCATTACTCAATTTTAAGGACAAAATTGTCAATTTGATAAAATATAAATTAATTTGACAAAAATGAAAGTCAAAAAAATATTTTTGAATTTCTAAAAATAATTTCTACCCACCAAAGATAAAATTTTGTAAAATTGATAAATCTTTTAGACATTTATTTATTTATTTATTTATTTTTTATGAAATTAATTTTTATTATGTGTTTAGATGATGATCATGTAATAGGTGGTTGTTAGGCTTTTAATGTGTAATCGATATATTTAATATATGAAATCTTTTTAGTTTTGGATTTTTTGATTTAATGGATTAGTTTAATAATAATATCAAAGTTGTCGCTATATTTAACTTTTGAAAAAATAGAAACTAATTTAATGAAAATAAAAATAACCACCCATTACATGATCATCATCCAAATACATAATAAAAATTAATTTGGTAAAATAAATAAATAAATAAATAAATAAATAATTTATCAATTTTACATAATTTTATCTTCAGTGGGTAGAAATATTTTTTAAAAATTCAAAAATATATTTTTGATATTTATTTTTATCAAATTGACGACTTTGCCTTTGAAATTGAGCAATAATATCTTTAATTGTCCTTATTTGGAACAAGATTCAAAATTCAAGGTCAAAATGTATCACAATTGAAAAGTCAGGGATCAAAGTGACACAAGGCTCAAACTATAGGGATTGTTAGTGTAATTCACCCAATTAACAATTAGTGACTTTTTTTGTCACGATTTTTATAAATTTTCATTAAAACTTACAATTAGCAACATTTTTTTATGACAAAATTTTCAAATTGTCACTAAAAGTTAAAAATTAGTATCACTTTTTTGTGATGATTTTTTAGAACTGTTGCTAAAATTTATAATTAGTGACATTTTTTGTGATAATTTTTAAACTGTTGCTAAAAATTAACAATTAGTGACTTTTTTTAATAATGTTTGATAAAAAATACCATTAATTATTATATGACCTATTAGATAATAACTTCACATATTATGACTTACACGTAAATCTCCCTTAACTCTATGTTTTAAGTGTTAGTGATATCAAAAATCTTTTAAAACTTGTTTCCTATTTTTTTTTTTAAATTTAAAACTAATTTGTTAAAAATAAATATAAGAAAGATATATTTAAAAGTTTAATTTAAAAGTTTTAAAAATTACTTCCCCCCACCCCCGGCGGCGGCACCCGAAAAGAGAATTATATGAAAATTATGAGTATTTTTTTTCCCCCCAAAACAATTTGATATATATATATATATATATATATTTCAATATATACGGTCCAACCACTACTAAAAAAAGTACTTTTTGCAACAGTTACAAGTTGTCGCAAATAATAAAAAGACAGTCACAAAAGACCTTTAACACTTCATGTTCTTTTAAGCCTTCAACAAGATGTGAAGGACTTAGGTAATTTTATAGAGAATTTTTTAAAGATTTTTGATATTAAGATTTTATAAGATAAATAACATATAATATTTTTATTGTAGTTAAGGTCTCTCAACATTTTTTCAGAGAAAATTCGGCTGAGAGAAAGTTTACCTGACTCAGAGAAATTGCGCCCTGACTCAGAGAAATTTCTTTGATTTCACAAAGAATTTTGAAGTTCCTCTGTGATCATATTAGAGAAATTTTGAATTTTTTTTGTGAAATTAGAGAAATTTATCTGAGTTAGGTAAAATTTCTCTAAGTCCAACAACATTTCTCTTTTCTCTGTGAAAATGTTAAGAGACCTTAGCTAATAAAAAAAAATATCTTAAGCCTCTCTTACTATACAAAGTTAGAAAGAGAAGTTTTACTAATTTTTTCAATTTTATAATGTCTCTGATTAATGACTATTCTTAAGATATTAAGTGAATAAAATTTTAAATAATATGGTACATCACCTTGTTTGGTTTACACTATTTTTTTAAAAATTGAGTTTTTTTTTTCTTTTTTTTTTTTAGATCCATCTAATCTATATACACTTAAAAAGTATAATAGTTATAATTTTTTTAAAAAAAAATTCACCAAATACAAAAAATATAAATATTTAGTACATTTTTATATTTTATTGTA